TGCTATGCAGTCTAATAAAAACATGCGAGTGGAAATTATAAGGGGAAAGAGCAGCTTAAGCAATGAAATTAAGAGTCCTACCACTTTTTTCAGTGATGGAATCGGTAGGCTACCCAAATACATAAACGCTGCCCCAACACTTCCTCATTCTAATTCTTGCCATAATTACAGCACTACTTTTTTTTTAAAAAAAACCTAAAAATTATCTTCCCATGACCAAATATTATATCCAGGTATGTTTTCAAGGTATAAATTAAAACTGTGGGTAGGTTTTCTTTACAAAATTTTCAGAGTAATCGGTCTTATTTAAAGCACACATTTTCAGCTGCTGTGCCTTCAAAGGAGCCTCCTTCCTATGTTCTGGCAGAATTCCTCGGGACAGATCCTAGAGCTCGTACTTCAGAAGGAAGCAGCCCTATTCAAAGTTTGATTTCCTCCTTTCCCAGCATACATAGGAACGGAGGGAAGCAAATTCACTTGTATGTGAAGAAACACGGGCTGGTATCATCATTTTGTGCTGTTACAGCGCCATTTCACATTGTGCAGCCCATCATTTGAGTTACATTAACATATAAACTTGTGGCATCCAGTTAGTAACAACTACAATGAAGACACCGCCCTGTGACATTAGCTTTGGACAAATCTCTTCATCACATTGAGCGAACACAGAAGGTTCCCAACACAAAATAAACATATGAACTTCCATACAGACAAACATACAAGCTTCCATATAGACACAACTGCACGCTTTGAGTAGCTGCCACAGATGACAGAGCAAAAGAAATTTTTCTGACAGTTTTTAACCATTTCAACCTCAGTTTTAAAATACATGCCTCATACGAATCAAGCATGTTTTTACAGTATTTATGTTGGGAGATTTAGCTTGGATTTATAGTGGTGATATCTTTAAAATCATCTCTAGATTTTGTTTTCTTCAAGAATGAATGATTATACTAGTACACAGACGAACAGCTTCACACAGCAATTTTGAATTAAAGTATGTTTCAGTTCCTTAACACTAATGTGGCACCATGGAATAGACAGAAGTTAGTAAAAATGAATGGGTCCTGTAGTTTTGCTTGATACTCAAACTCAACTGATTGTGAATTATAGTATGCATTCAAATACCTGCATTACTCTAGAGAAACAAGGGAAAAAGAAATACAGCACTGACTGCAAAATTGGATTCTTACTATTGATGGCTATCACTGGGGTGTTTTTTGGAAAGAGAAAAATTGAACACAGCATTTTGTTAATCACTAACACTTGACACTCAGTAAAACTTGGTGTGGCCCTCCAGTCCCATTTCTGATTGATAGAAATCAATCAGAAGCATTAGTTACAGTAGAAGAGATCTAACAGCCTCTTCTTCACAGGGACGAATAGTCCAGTGGACAACTTAATCTCTCCTGGTGCTCTCAGACCAGGGCAACATTTCAGTACATAAGCCTATGAGATAAATAAACTGTGAAAAGGGAAAGGGATGGTCTGATGTTAACAGCAAGACCTACAGAGCACACCCTCAGTCCCTTGTGCTGAGAAGAACCAGCTGGTGCAAAATGCTCTGCATTACTACTAACATTACAGCACAAAGATTCTTTTTAAAAATAGGCACACAAATTTCACTTACAGAACTCGCCTTCAAGAGGACAGATAGATACTATGCAGCAGCCTCGGTTTGATTAGCTTCTGAAACAAAAAATTCAAGCAGAGGTATCATCATTTATGCCAGGTTTCCCATTCTTGCTCTGGTTCCTTAACTTCAAAATCACTTCTGTTGCCATTTTACTGGATGAATCAACAAGTTAGCAAACTGCATCCATCCCTGCACAGTGACCTGTTTACAGCAAAGCATTCGGAATGCCCAGTCTGGAACTTGCCTTTAGGAGAGGGTTGGGTTTTTTTTACAGCATTTGACATTTTAATTTTACTTACAGAGTGACAATAGGTCAAGTTAGAGATTCTTCCAATCGATTATATTGTTCTTCATGTTTATCCCAATCTACTTCTTCAAACAGAAACTTGGTGTCAAACTACTCTGTGTCCACTGAGCTAGCTGAAATAAAATTATGGATGACTTCCTACTAACATATTTAGATTAATGGAAAATCCATAAGAAGAATTACTGTATTTCAAATAAATTTGTGCTGCAACAGCTCTATAAAAATCAAATTTTTAAAAGCATTTAGTAATTAAAACTACCTACACCACTCTGTAAATACAGATATTTTTTAATTTCTTATGAAGCATAAAATTAGTCCCCTTTACAACAAATTTTAATTATTCCATCTGGGCACTGGTTTCTTGAATAATAATAAAAGAAACACAGTTCTTGTCCATAGGCACAAACAGGTAAAAACCATCCATCTTCCCCAGTCTTGAACAATAATCTAATTTTTGTACAAGCAAACTAATGATGCTAATTCATTTGCTTTTAAACTAAGCATATCTATGTGGCTTGACCTGAAATATTCCCACTGAAGACAATAAACTCAGTACTGAAGACATTAAACTCAGTATTCCTTACTTTTCAATGAATCTGAGAATTACAGTTTTACACATTCTCAGAAGACCACAAGGATTCATCACCATCTGAAAATCTCTATGTTGCAGTGAGGTAGTTTCCAGTTCATTTAGCAACATGAAAGCAAATCTACACCACAGTATTAATTCAAAGACAAATTTACCTTTTTTTTTTAAAAGAAAAGGAAGGATACTTTAAAAAGAAGTTTCACACTATCAATCTTTTCTCTGGCTTTTCCTCATGGATGAGAAACAATTTAAGTGCTTGCTGTTTCCGTTTTAGTTTTGGACCACAAAAATTCTCCAGAACAACCCAGAATCTACATTGTCCCCATTATTCAGGAAATCTAGCTATCCTGACTTCTGACTTTATGATAGGTAGCTTTCACACCAAGTGACTAAAATCTATGCATATTCCCTCCTCTTTCAGTTCAGCTGGGAATTTTCAGGGAAGAAAGACTATAAACTTCTTTTGTGCTCTTCTGAATGACAGCTCATTTTAGAATGGTCTTCGTGCTGTAATCCCATTAGATTAAACACATTACAAATTCTCTTCCCATACTTTAATTTCCCTAACATTACAAGTTTTAATGAAATCCATTTTTAGTTTGCCATCTAATGACCATTTGTCATACCAGAAAAAAATCCACAACGGTACTTGCTACATCAGCCAACAAAGACAACATTTTTCTTTAGCTTCTTTATTTAAAATCAGTTTATACATCAGTTAATTTCAGCCATAAGAAACTGTTCTCTGATAAAATCCCACTATATTGGAATGGTAAACTCTTAGCTACTTTTACTTAAGAAAATAATACAACTATGCCCCACAAATTATGACAGAGTTTGAAAAGAAATCTTTTTCTTTACTATGTAATGAAGACAATGTAATAAAAGTACATAACAAAGCTATAGAAAATTCAGGAAAAAATACAGAAAAATAAAAGCTTCCAATGGGTTTTGTCTTAGCCAAAAATTGTTTACTGCAAATAAAACATTAATAAATGGCTTTATACAAATAAATACATATTTTAAAACGTATCTGAAACACGAATTCCTCCTGTTTCAAAATTTTAAACTATGTAAAATATGAAAATGATGGGCTATAATGGCCAAAGGTTGGTAACAAGAGTCTTTATTTTGCAAACTATACAGAAAGAGTAAAAAAGAAAATGCATTATACTTTTCAATCATACATAGGATAAACATTAAATTTAGTATTTAATATGTAGAAATTAATTCAAATAAGAAACTGATTTTCCTTTTAGTTAATGATAGGAAACCAGTGAGCCATTTTTGAAATTATACAACCTGTAGTATTACATTATACAGGTCACGTCAATTTTATTGTGGGCAGAAAGCAAGAGACATGATATGAACAAAGACGGTGGAGTCCCAAAATGTCTACACAATTAATTAACATGCTAACATAAATACAGTGATTAAAGTAATTTTCTCTACAGTCAAATCTTCAGTGCTACTCTACACAATAATTATAAACTAGTCCACATGGTAATTACTTAACAATAGGAAAAAAAATAAAATAACCCATTTTCTTCATTCCAGCAGCAGTACCTATACTGGTATTAATTTGGTAATTGGGTGTACTTAGCTATTGCCTAACATCCTATACTGGTATGCATGCTAAAACCTCTCTATTTCTATTTTGCAAGGCACCTTTACAATACGTTCTCTAAGTTTCTGCACTAGTAACAGAAAACAACATGAATTAAGAGAAAGATGCAAAACTATTTCCCAAATTAAGAAAATAAAAATATTACTATACATTTATTAAAAACTACTGTGGGGCAAGTGCCAATACTCTGAAACACAGCCATATATAAAGATAATATAATTTTAAGCAATTTTTTTCCCCAGGTAAAATATTTATGCTAATCTGATTAGAGAGAAATAAAGCGTGAAGCAACGTTTGAGTAAATAATGATAAAGCCTCCACAACCTTGACATGAAAGAAAAAATAATTAAGGAAGGACAAGAAAAGTTTAGAATTACAGAATTGGTGCTTGTCTACACTACTGCTTTTGAAAAATCCTTTCGATAATCTAGCCACTTCCTAATTAAAACATAACAACAAACGCAAACACCAAGGAGAACTTTATTTTTTCCTCCTGATACATTTTTCTCCCTACCTTTGGTTAATTAAAGGCTGGTGACACGCTACTTGTGCAATAAAGTTTTTCTTCAGTAATACGTTTTTGATTTACTAAATGGACAATTTGCAAAGCCTGCAGAGCCTGAATCACTGACAGAACAAGGTTAAGTTATGTGTTCTGAAGAGGACATAGACAGTTCCAAGTAAGGGCAAATATCGTTTCACCAGAGTTTTAAAGAGACTGGCTGTCTTTATGGTGTGCTTTGTACACTTATATTTTCAGTAGCACATGACATTTCTTTCTTCAGACTAGACTTCAAATGTGTTTTCTTCAGCGCAAAGGCATTTAAAAACTCAAAAAGCACATTATATAATTATTCTTATTTAAACAAAAAAAGTCTATGACTCCAGCTGCAATATTTGAAATAATCATACAAAATATACATGTTTGTTAGAATCCTTTTGATCTTGGAGAGCAAAGGGATTTTATGAAATGTCATCCTGTAAATCATAGAAAGGTACAATTCATGGACCGCCTAATAACATCAAATATATCCATCATGATCAAGGTCATCATCATCATCATCTCCTTCATCTTCATCATCATCTTCGATTTCATCTTCATCATTCATTATTTCATCTTCATCATCTTCATCATCTGTCCATTCATGGAAATCGCCAGAGGCAAAATCACCTGAAGTCTCTAAATCGATAGCTAAAAAGGTATGATAGTTACAGAAAAGACAGATAAGATACACTATGTATTTATAGTATCATATACATAAACATACAAAAAGCACACCAGAATATTTAGTTTCAGGTCAATCATTTATTTTAAACTACACAGTATGACACAGAAACAAAACATAAATAATACAAAAATTCTTTTGTCTTACAAGAAAAAACACTCCAATAGAGATTAATTTCTTAACGTTAACAAAAGGAGACAAATTTTATGGATTTGTAGAACTATTAATGAAAACCAGAAACAACTGAAACAAATTTAAGTCCCGTTTACAAATGACGATAAGGACTACTGATAATATACACTGCCTATTGTTCAGTTCTTACATACTATCTTGAACTATCTAGAACTGTCCACTTTTCTAGAAAGGATCCTGGATTAGATGGACAATAGGCCTGGAGTTTGTATGTCAAATATTGTCTTGTATTTACCCTTTGTTTCAGGCTACGTTCTTTTGTTGCAAAATAAGTAGAAAGGAGTAATATAAGACATTTTTTATTGATATTTTTTATATCTGGGACATCAAATAAAGGTGACAGGGGAATTCCTAGAAGAATTTGCATGGTTCTGAAGGAAAGGGAAAAATAAGGGAAGATTTAGTGTGCTAGGAACTTTTGGCAATTCCCTCAAACATAAACTGAAGAAATGTGAAATTGAATTCACTAGCATGCTGATTATCCAAAGGGATTTCATCAAGTATTTTGAGGTTTGTCTAATGCTACCCTAGATAATTCTTTTTCCCTAGTTTTACATACACTGTGTCAAGCACATATATGAGGTTTATTAATAGCTGACACAACGACAGGAGTTGTAAAAAAAAAAAATGTAGTAAGAATAACAAATTATAATTTGTTATTTTTTGTTTCAAAATCCATATAGTCAGGTCTCCCATCTGTTCTTGCTGAAGAAATTGAATCCAGTTGACAGTCAAAGAAAATAACACCAGTAAACCAAATGCCACAAAGAGTTCTTAACTTACCACATTCTGCCACACCATTTGTTCTGGATCCCGTTACCTCATTGCCGTATCTGTCAACACACCAGCACTGCCCTACACTTCCATGGCACTGACTTGGTTTGTAATATCCATCTTCATCACATAATGGGATGTACTGCCCTGTGATATGCAAGTATTGAATAAGAATATTAAAAATGTCCTCTTGGCCAATGTAACGATTATAGCAGAAAGTAACTACCTTTTGCTGTTTCCTCATTCCAAGCTCTAAACTGACTTGTTTACTATTACTAAGTTCAGTTAAGCGGAAAGTGACTGAATATATTAAATGTCAGAGGGAAAATAACACGTATCAGTCTTGGACTGATTTCAAGAAACAAAGTGAACAATCTTCCTTCACATTTTTCATTGATCCTGTGATAGTATTCCTTACTCACTGATTGTTTCAGGCAAGATCTTTGTTGCATTCTGGGAAAAAGGCTCAAATGTAGCACCCAACCCTAAACGCGATGTTCTATAATCTGTGGAGCACAAACAATTCCAGATAATAAGAGCCAGGCTTCCTAGACTAACAAACTATCTGCTACAACACTGAGGAGCTATTTTTATTTAATATATGTTTTACAATCCACTTAGTTACCAAATATTATTTAATCCCACCACAGAAGACAAATACAGTGCAACACACCAATGTTATCAACAACAAATGTAATAAAAGAATGTTAAATTTGCATTTATATGCAAAATACCAAGGTAAATGAGTGTCTTAAGCCAGAAGAGTACAAGAGACACACCAAGAGTATACCATCTCCCACAGCATCCTCATAGGTAAACTGAGGAAGTGTAGTCTGGATGACTAAGTAGTGAGGTGGGTCATTAATTGGTTGAAGGGAAGTCAGAGCGTTGTGGTCAATGGGGCAGAGTCTAGTTGGAGGCCTGTGTCTAGTGGAGTCCTTCAGGGGTCTGTGCTGGGGCCAGTGCCCTTCAATATATTCATCAATGACCTGGACGAGGGATCAGAGAGCACTGGCAGCAAGTTTGCTGATGACACAAAACTGGGAGGACTGGCTGACACACCAGAAGGCTGTGCTGCCATTCAGCGAGACATAGACAGGCTGGAGGGCTGGGTGGGGAGAAATCATATGGAGTTCAACAAGGGCAAGTGTAGAGTTTTGCACTTTGGAAGGAATAACCCCATGTGCCAGTACAGGTTGGGGACTGACCTGCTGGAGAGCAGCGCAGGGGAAAGGTAGTGGACAGCAGGATGACCATGAGCCAGCAATGTGCCCTCGTGGCCAAGAAGGTCAATGGCATCCCGGGGTGTATTAGGAGGGGTGTGGCAACTAGGTCAAGAGAGTTCCTCCTGCCCCTCTACTCTGCCTTGGTGAGGCCACATTTGGAATATTGTGTCCAGTTCTGGGCCCCTCAGCTCAAGAGAGACAGGGAACTGCTTGAGAGAGTCCAGCGCAGAGCCACAGAGATGATGAAGGGAGTGGAACATCTCCCTTATGAGGAAAGGCTGAAGGAGCTGGGTCTCTTTAGCTTGGAGAAGAGGAGGCTGAGGGGTGACCTCATTAATGTTTATAAATACGTCAAGGGGGTGTGTCATGAGGACGGTGCCAGTCCCTTCTCAGGGATGTCCAATGACAGGACAAGGGGCAATGGATACAAGCAGGAACATAAGAGGTTCCACAAAAATATCAGAGAAAACTTTTTCACTGTGAAGGTGACAGAGCCCTGGAACAGGTTGCCCAGAGAGGTTGTGGAGTCTCCTCTGGAGACATTCAGAACGCATCTAGATATGTTCCTGTGTGACATAGTGTAGGTGATCCTGCTCTGGCAGGGGGCTTGGACTAGATGAGCTTTTGAGGTCCCTTCCAACCCCTGACATTCTGTGATTCTGTGAGTACAAGAGACACAATCAAGGACTTTGGTTAGCCAGAAACTTGCCTAAGGCAGAATAATCCACTGTGTTTAATTTGGAACGAACAGAGATTTTTTGAAAGAAACATAAAATGTGGACAAATCACAATGAAAAAACCTAAAACATTAATATGAAAACATTTTCGAAGTGTACAGTTTTTGTTAGAAACCATCCATACAGTTCTGACTTTGGGCCAACCCTTTTATTGCAGCTTTTATACAGTGGCTAACAGTAAAATGAAGATTTTACATTTCAGTAATGTTGATACAGTATAAACTGATTCACAACAGAGATTTCAATTACTTAAAGAATATTAGAGGTAAAAGATCAGCAGAGATACTAATTTAGGAGTGCCTTAGACTGTCCCCTCTATAAGCTGTAAAAATGAAGCTTCCATTAGTATAATAAAACAGACGCAATATCTTTTGGTAGTCAAGGTAATAAAACTAGGTTTAATAGCTTTCAAAAATTTCATAAATTTTGTTGCTAGAATTTACTGTGGTCTATCTTTGTTGGATTAATATTGATTTTATGTTGCTGTTTCACTAGTGTTATTTATGTAAGCAATAAAACCTTCAAAAGAATGATCTATGGCTCACCTAGGAGCTTCTTTCCTCCTTGCTGCTTCTGAATGTTGCTGAGTTCTGTCTGGCAAGGTGGGTCTAAAATGACATACAAAATGTTAAACAGATTACACTGCATCTAGGAAAGAAAGCATATGGCTACGTTTTCACTGTTTATGTTCTAAGGTCACTCTAACAATTGATCTTAAGAAATACACACATCTTGCATTTAGTAGTCTTGGTCGGATCTCTGAAATAAAAGAATTACTGCACCTTACTACAACTCCAGAATCACCAATTAGAGCACCACCATGGATTTCTGCATAAGGCCACTCCCAGTTAACACAGTTGTAAGTGAGCAACTAGTCACTAGTCTGAGGACCGAGGAATGCTACTCTATCACACCTTACTTTATCAGTCTACAGAAATCAGATGGTGACTGTGAAGCTTGCCTCATGATTAAAAGAGGATGGCTCTTTCAATTTTTACCCTTTTGTCATTGTTAGAAGCTATGCTCAAGTTTTGTATTTCATATACTATGCTAAGAAAATAAGAATCTTTTCCACTGAAGTCTCCAAGATTGTGTTTCTATTGCAAAAATTTAAGTCTGCATCTCATGGGTACAAAGCCCCATGCTCAGCACACTAAGTTAGAAACAGTGGCCAAACTTTAGATGGCTCTAAGAGGCAGAATATGTATTAAAATTCAGTTTTCCATTTTTCAGTTATAGTTTAGTCAGGTTTTGAACCATTCAATTTTCTACTGTCTATAAACTCAACTCACAGAATGTGTCATGAATAGGAAGGAAGGAAGATGTGAATGTGTTTATGTTACTGTTAAATTAGTGAATCAAAGACAGCAAAGTACTAATTTTTGAATGCTGATACAGTGCACTACATTCGACCATTAGCACAAAGGTGTTTCTCATTCTGTATCAGCAGTACCATTACTAAGTTTACTCACATGTCTCTTTAGCTTATGCCGTTCCCAGACAATATTCTGATAACATCACAACACATTCCCATTCTATGAATATTAAATGCATTTTCCATTTTAGCAAAGTGATTATTCAGAATACATCTTTGCCATGCAATTAACTCGAGACTCTCTTCTGAAATGTAGTGAAACTACTTTTTTCCATGCAAACAGAAAAATACCTTCTGAGCGAGACTGGCCTAGCTCACTGATGGAGCACAGAGTCAGACTAGAACCCAGTCACTGTGCAAGGCAATGGGTTGGGCAAAAATCAGTTGAGTGGTGAGAATCCATGGCAGCCTTTCCTGAATTCCCCTACAGGAAAACCAAAGTGCTCACCCTTTTAGTCTGCTGAACGCAGCAAAAAATGCACAGAAGAGTGTAAGAATGGCAGTAACACGTTATAATCCGTGGAAGAGCCAATTTTGTGGAACTGCTCAAATTGGTGAGAAATGCCTAGGTGAACCGGGGATCAAAAATATATTTCTGGTGAACACAGAGACACTTGCCTGCCATAGCCCAGATATTATTATATCTTTATTATTATATCATAGCCTTTGATATTATTCATGAGTTCTTTATTAACAGAGTAAATGGAAACTGGAAGACAATCCCACACTGACAGCAGAATGTCATATTCTCTTGGCTTTACATTTTAAATACTATTTACATACCCCATACATCTAAAAAAGCTTATAAACATTTACAGTGGCCTCAACTCTGGTGGGTCACGTTTTCATACTAAATCTATAAAGATTCTTTTCAGAGTGATGGCCTTAAAAGTAGGCTCTACTTTTAAAGTACTCTTCACAGGAGTCTTAGTGCCAGAACAAATTTTTAAGAGATGTCTTTCCAGAAAATCAAGCAGTTTTCTGTGTTTATTCTTGAAAATCACTAGGAGTTGATATTACTGGGTGTGTACTGGGTTTTAACCATTTAGTCTTTAAATATTTGCTGTGGCTATATAAAGCTTTACATTCCTTGTTGTAAGAAGTGCTTCGATGGTGATCACACTCACTATTCTGCCAGAGGTGTTCATCACTTTTCAAAACCAAGCCTTCGGTCTCTCCTGATGTTTAAAGGGTTAAGCTCTTAATTGTACATCATTCTGAGGATCAATTATTTCTTAAATCAAAGGTATTTTCAGTTAACCAGTAATCTAAAAAATGATAGTCATTTATGTGCAAATGTATCACAGGCTAGACAAATTCAGGATTTTGGTGGACTTGGCAGTGTTGGGTTAATGGTTGGACTCATTATCTTCAAGGTCCTTTCCAAACTACATGATCCTACTCTAGTCTATCTTCAAAAGAAAGTGGAAATAAGTTGAAGGAGAAGAATTAGTCAAATAGGAAAAATACATGTATTTTTGCTCTATGGAAAAAAGTCCAAAATTAAAAGCACAGAGCTGCACACATGAGCACTAACAATGATGGACAATACCTAAAAAAACCTAAGAAATCTTCAATTGCAGCTATAAATCTTTGGTCGTGTAATTACAAAAAGGAATACCACTAACCAAAAAGGTAACAAGTCAATATGAGAAAGTTACTTACCCCAAGCTCTTCCTCTCAGAAGCTAGGTCTTCAAGATTCACACTTAAGCTTTGCTTCTCAGGATAAAAGCAGCAAAACCTCTTAACAATACTAAATCACTCTGGTGCTTAAAACTGTCAAAGAGAATGGCAGGCTAGAAGTTCAACCAATTCCTTTTGGTCCATAACATATCCTTTTTCCTCTCTCCCCAAATCATAATGTTTCTCTCTTTATTTTCCTGAGTCTGGAAAAGCTTTCTTTTAGATTTCTGAACTTATTTTAATTTTAAAAAAGCAGTCACTGGACAACTTTTGCAAGTCTTGAGCCAAGGAGAAAAAATTTCTTAACCAAAATCAATGCAGTAGCTTCCTCTGAAATAGAAATGAATCTGACACTAGTCTTTCTGATAATCTGAATAAATAAAAGACCTAATCATCTTTGCCCTTAATCTGCTTTCACAGGTGTGTGATAATCTGGATATAAATAAAAGACCTAATCATCTTTGCCCTTAATCTGCTTCCACAGGTGTGGCAGGAATTGTTGTTCTGACATCAGTGCATTGCTACACGATTGATTTATGAACCACTAAACAGGAGCCATCCACAGTTCTTCAGTGGTCAAAGTACTGACGCACACCTGAGTATCCCATGTTATTAATACTTGCCCTTGAAATATAAATATTCAGTTTGTCAAGTGGTGCTGCAAGGCTAGCACAACTAAGCTTTGTTACCAAAAAGAGGCACATTAACATAGCAATGGGAGTAAAACTGGTAGATTTGACAAAGAATGCCTAGGATTTTTAACAGACATGCCTCAAGGAGCTGCGACCCACACAGTGAGCCCCCACCTTTTCCAGATTCTCCATCTTATTAAATTACAAAACAGTGATTTTCCATCTATCAGGTGAACAATATTTGGCAAAGCCCCTAGCTTCTGGTTTATGGTCCACTGCAGATTAGGCTGCCATGTTGTGCCTTGCCTGTGCTTGAGGTCAAGTACTATAATTATCCTTGGACAACTGAGGCTTGAACCTGAGAGATTTGCAGTATCAACACTGCATTTCAAGAAATCTTTCTGGGGACCTCAATTATGTGTTAAGGCACGTTACATCTCCCTTTAGAACCATCTACAAACATATTTGAAGTCCTGCAATCTGAAAAGACTGATATAACAAATACAAATCACCATAACTATCATTCTTCTCTAAAGATGTCTTGCAGCCTTGACAGACAGAAGAGCCTGTAAGAAAAAAGCATCTAGAGGAGTGCTGGACTAATACATCCATGCAGAGGCCTGCATTAAAGAAATACTAAGGTGCTAAGCATTAATACTCTCAGCAAAACTGTGTATTTTACTCTGAAGTAGCGATGCCACAAAAACAAGACTATAATAACGATGAAGAACTGACAGGAAGAAAATTAACCTATGAACAGGCCAACACTGCAAACGCCTCAGCATTTCTCTAGATAAGCACTAAAATATTAAGCTACCGTTACACAACAAAAAAAAAAGTTTGGAAGATGAGCACTGAAGCACTTGCATAAATTGTAGTTAAAACTAGAGGGCAATACCAAACAAAGCATATAGGAAGACTTCCACAGAGCAGCAGCAAAATGCAGCCTCTGAAGTACTGAAGAAATGCATTACAGTGTCTTGGAAGTATCTCAGAACTACTAAACTATGCTTAAAGCAAAACAAGGCCAAGAAAAAATGCAATAAGCACCATCAAGCCATATTAGTCAAGGCAGGACAGCTACTACAGGAAGATCTTTTCCTAAGCAAGAAAGATCTGACTTAAGTATTCATAAGAAGTTGCTTATATTGACTATAAGTTGTGAGCAATGGGCAGTAATGGGTCAAGTGTACTGTAATGCATCATGACAGACCTCAAGCAGAAAGAATGAAAGAAGAATATTGCAAGTACTTGTCTGATCCTGACAGTCTTGAACTGTGAAATTAAGATCAAAGAGCAGGAGGGCTTCTCAGGTAACAACTCAAGCAAATGGTATGTATTTTTAAAAAGCACAGCTGAATGTCCAGTATGGTATGTATTGTTGATAAAATTTTGTATTCACTTTGAACATTGTTAATCAACAGTGTAAAATTGTAGATCCACCCAAAAGCACCTACTAAGCTCAATGAATACAGAAAGCTGTCTACATAGCTCAAAGCATTCTGTTAATATCAACTTATGTTGGTAAACATCAGAAAAAAGTCACTAAATTTCTCTACCCAGTCATCTCTTTGCTATTAATAGCAAACGTCTAGTTGAAGGTCTTGTTTAGATTGTTCAATCGAGTAGAATATAACCAAATATAAACATAATAAAAGTTTTAGCATAACACTGCAACTTATGAATAGAGAATTCAGGGGGTCACTAATACACTAGTGAGTTAGGACTTAGATAACTGTGCAAAAGCTAATAATAAGAAGTGACAAAAGAAGACTCTAAGTTTTTGTTCTTTTTACACATTCAAAAAAGAAGAGGAATACAGATTCTGTTGACAGTGTTTGTTTGGAGGGATGGAGTGCATGTTTAATGTACGACTGCCAAAACTGAGATTTCACCTTGTTTACGAAGTTGAGAATTTATCTTTTTTACTATATGCTCAAACGCACTGGTCTGAAAAGCTATCGAATCCATTTTAAATTGGCACCTTATCATGCCATGGTCAAGACAGTGAGGAAACTGGTAAAAAAGGGAAGAAAAGCTTGATAATGTTCCAGCAGTACACTAATCCAGTATTTTACACAAACAGGATTTTCAGGGTATAGAATGCAAAACTACTTGAAACTGATCTGTGGAAGTGCTATATCTTAAGGTGCTGGTCATGCTGTACATTCATTATACAAAATAGGTAGAAAGCCAACTTGTAGAAGAACCTTGGACCACACTAGGCCACATGCTCTGTGCTGTACTTTCTCTGACAATTGAAAAGAATTATGCTGTTCTCCAAAGAGTAAGGGTATTTATATACTAAGCTGAAATGATCGTCAGCATTTTTTTTAAGACAACCAAACAAAAGATGTTACTTTCTCTACTTTAAGAACCGCTGTACTTCTGGAATGGGTTATTTTTCATTTACTCATTTCCTTAGCAGTACATGCATGGTTATAAAAATAAAAGCCAAAATATTATTCTACTATAAACCAAAAAAGATTAAATGCTAACTTTTTATTACAAAGTTACCAAAGAAAAGAAGCCTGCTGTTTAGTATGTATCTACAGAAGTACAGCTTTATTTTTGTTCAGATTTATAACTGGCAGATGTGGCATGATAAAAATCTTTATTTTCACAGAAATCAGAGTCAAACCATAGTTGATGAGTGCTAATGGAAATTTATCACAAGAGTTTTAAGGGCACAAGTGAGATTTAAAAATCTAATATTATAATATTCAAAAAGGCTTAACTGGCTTTGCAAATTTTCCACCAAATCAGTCTTATCTACTCTACTGGCAGCAGAAATTCGGACTCCGGTTGCTTTTTATCCCTTTGAAATACTCCCTCATGTTACTCAGAAAAATCAAAGGGGCAATTCTGTCCAGTTTCAGTCAAAATTTAAAGAGTGAATTATTTGATTCATTGCAACTAATTTGAATTATTTTTTAATTTATAGGATGTCTCACCTACCTCTAAAATTGTTATAAGAAAATAATGCTTATAGGTTGTGTTTATTTAAAGAAATCACAGCAGGACACTAGCAAGATATTTGTCTAGGCAGTAAAAATTAATTGGTTTAAAGTCCAAATGACTGGAAGTAACTTTATCCATAATGTTTATTCAGTTATTTTATTAGGCTCACAAAATAGAACATTAAGATGCCCTCCTTTAGCAATAATAAAAGTTTAATTTATAATGCAGGCAAAGTAGACTGGGAAAGAAATAATTTAAGTAATTTTGTTCTTTATTTTGGTCTCTTTCCTCTGCATGTTTACTTGAAGTTGGCATGAGAAACAATATTGCTATAAAAGCATCAGCCATTGTTTTGCACTTTATTTAGAATCCTTGAATTTCTAGCGAGCCTTTCCACTTAGCTTGTGGGGGTTATTTGGTGTGGAGGTTTTTTTTTACTTCATTTTAGGTATTCACAACAGGTCAAAATCCTTAACACAAATTCATGGTACAGCATCTAAGAGCTTGTAGTTCACGGTAATCTTCATGTTAGAGAAAAGATAAAGCACTACACAAGGTCAGTCACATGCATATGCAGGTTGCTCTCATCTTTTACCTTGCTGTCTTTGGAAGCAGTAGCACCACTCATTGTTAGATATCAAACTGTCCTTGTATGTGTCACAAGAATTGAAGAACGCCCTGGTGCATGGCTCATTCTTGTCAAGGTAAATGCTTCCAAGTTCTGACTGGTCCAACAACAGGTCATAGTTCGTATCAAGCCTGTTAAACATCCATCCAAGGGAGTCTTTGCAAATTGGCAAAATGCTGGTATCAAATCCTTAGAGGAAGAAAATAAAGACAAAATCATATAGCTGCTGATTTCAGCCATCACAAAAAAATGTTGCATTATGGAATTTGCTCCAGTGGGATACATATACGTTGTATGAACAGTGTGTGCTATTGAAACACTATGTATAAATTATATGTCAGCTTCATTTTAAAAAAATCATTACTGTAACCTGCTAAAAAGTTAATCCCACCATCAGTCTCAAAGCATTTAGAAATAGCAGTTTTCATGTCAAGCATCATACCTATAACACACATATTATGTAGAATAATAAATGTTCTACAGTGAATTCCTGGAAAATAATTCTGTTTAAGAATTTTAGTGATATTATAAATCAGAGAAGTGAAGCTTAAGTGGTTTGCAATGTTTACAGAACGAAGAACAGAATACATTCCATGTAACTTATTGGAGTCCATCTTTTTCTTCCTATAACACATATTCAGCTCTATGAAAAAGAAAGACAAAACTCAGCCTCAGTAATGCCTTGAAAGTTACAATATTTTATCCTTACTTGGCATTATTCACATCTTGGAGAAGGCCATGGAAAAGATAACTGCTAAGATTTACTAATACAGCTAATACTAGACCTACTAATACAGCTTGCATGTTCCTAAGTTGTTGCTTGGAAAAAGGGCCACCAGGAACAGGCTGAGTTGATTATTCCTGTAGCCAGAGCTCAGACCTCACTGTTGTCTTTCCTGCATCAGCTGTAAAGTACATGCTGACTTGCACATGGCCATGGATGGCGAATTCAAAAGCCGACAAATTCAAAAGCTGACAGGCCTGTTCATGAGCTCTGGGCTGTACCACAGGCTTACGGTGCATGCAGCCAGGTAAGTATACACCCTAATAAAGAACAGAGATTTAGTGCTACTAAATATTGTTCTTCCAAAAACTTTTAAGCTAAAACTGAACACTGATAAAATGAGAATGGTGAATATGGCCGTAGAAGAATTGATACGAGAGCACACAGGAATTTCCATTTTCTACTTTGGTTTAAATCAAGCCTACCTGCCTTAGCTGTTGTTCAGAAAACAATAAAGAAATCTGCAAAGTGTTTCTGTACTGCTAAACCAGGTCAACTTGGATGACTGCATAATCCGATTTAGAAATCAGTAGATTTTCCTTTAGATAAACATGTATGTGGAAATGTCCGTGCTATGGTAGAACAACCATTTCAGAAAGAAAAAGAAGAAAGCGGATAGCCAAAAAAGAAGACAGACAAAAATCCCTGTGAAAGACAAGCAACCATATAAAGTCCCTTTCCCCAGAAATTCTAAACTAACTGACTTTTTATCACTTTTTCTTGCTTCTTGTTGATCTGTGGCATTCACTACTATTTCTACTTGACAGAAAGTAAAAAGGGGAAAAAAATAAAGCAAGCCATTTGATATTTATGAGAGTTTTTATGTGTCCAGTACAATTTAAAAACATATTCAAGTATTCAACTAATGGTCCTTCTCTTTCTTCCTCTTCAGACCCTGATAAAACATCAAGATAAAACAACTTTTGGGGTTTTTTTTTGTAGATTAGGAGGAGAAGAGAGAGACAGGACCCAATTGAATGAATAAAGATATACAGTAGAAGTGTTATTCAGCTTTATCTGTAAAGGTATCAGAATTATTTAGCAGGTGTTTCTGCCTTGAAAAACTCTGGAAAACTCCTCCGCCTCAAAACATTTTGTCTAAGGATGAATGTTCGGGATTATATTATTTCCCTCTAAGTCTCTATTCCTGAAGACCTCTTACCACTTCCCAGATACCTCTTTTTTCTCTGCTAGTCCTGCTTTAAGCTAGATATCATCCTCAAGACTTTGGACTCAGCAAGGGGTCAATGTGAAACATACAGTTTCCTATTCTACCTTTTCTGTGCCTACATGAAGGGAGGAATTATTCTTGTGCTCACAAAATTTTTCTGAATTTGGCATTCTGGACAGCTCACCAAACTGTAAAACAAGTTGCACAAAAAGAGTAAACATGAGGAGACAGATTTTAAAGAGTAAGACGGCAGCTAGAAGGCAATATAAGATAGAAAAGACTTTAAAGATGTATTCACAGATGGATTTTGTAGGCCGAAGTAGATAATTGTAGGTAATACATCTGCATTTGGAATCTTAAGCATAAGCTTATCGAAAGAGGTATCGCATTCAAGCTTAGGACAAAGTATTTTTAAATAAGCATTTGCCATCTATGCTGAAAAAACTCACACCATTAAGTACTTGGTATTTTATAACACTAGAAGCTGGTGTTATGTATTCCATAAACTCTACTTAGGCAAAGGGGAAAAAGCCTCCAAACACCTGTATATTTTATTTCTCTTAGTTTCAAATTTTACTCTAAAAAGAAAACAGACTTATCTGCAGAATAGTGAAAAACTACTGAATATTTACAAGTCTTTATGCATCACTAAATATTGGAACAGTACAGAAGATTTCATCCCTCCTTTTTATCTTGATTGCCTCAACTAGCATTAGCTTGTGAATTGAGTTCATCCTCTATCCCCATTCCTCATTTTTTTCTCATGTCTTTCTACAGAGATTCATTTTTTTTAAAGTGTGTCTAATAGAGATTTCCCACTGGATTTTTATCTATTATACTTGTCCTAGTTAAGGACAGAGCTTCAAATTAAAACACTGACATTGGAGTCAGCAATATCATTAAAAACCAGATGATTCCACTACAAATTACAGATTTCATCAGGAAAGTACCAGAAAAGTGACACTATGTTCTAATATTTTTTGTGAATTCAAATGAAGTTAAGCATAACTGTAGTTTAATATTTAAATACAGAGTTTGAATTTTATGATAAACACTTCCTGGTAAACATGAATATATTTTAACTGGCAGTTCAGAATTAATAAACCTACTTCATACAGTAACATTTCATATAAGAAAACTCTTTTGTTATTTCCAAGCCTGTAAAATAAATTTTATGAATATTAAAACTGTCATAACCTATCTATTATATAACATCATATACTGCAGAAAAAGCACTGTGGGTCATGGGGTCTGGCTTTCTACTAAATAACTGTTTGATGTAATAACTTCAAGAACTAACCAAGCTTTACCTTGAAAGCAGTTTATGTTTCTTTTTCCAGAATTTGCTTCTGAGGTAGTTTTTATTTTTATTTACAGTTCAAGTATTTTTGTTGCTCTTCTCACTATTTTTTTAGTTCTTTCTCTTCTCTGGTATTTAAAATTTTAGTGTTTTAAACAGTAAAAATCACATTGCTGCTTAGTTTTCATTTGGCTTGTTTCACCAAGCCACTCTTTCACAGCCATCAATCACTGCAGGATAGTGTAGAAATGTCTGAAATCTAGGAGCAGTCCACCTCCTCCAGAACTGCTACACCACATAAAGATCATCACCTCAGTTCCATGTTTACATTATATACCCTAGGAGATTACTGTGGTAAAGTAAAAATCTTGATTCAATTTTAAAGAATCTTTAAGGAACTGGCCAAACTTAAGATAAATAGAAGTCCTTTCTCTCTGCAATGACTTTCTTCCTCTACTACCATATTGATTAAATAATACAGGTGTCACTCTTGATGGTGATATACTTGAGAAAAGGAATCAGGAAAGCACTTCAGTACATACCTGGAGTTTAACATCTGCTAACAAGACTTGACAAATAAGGGGGTCAGGTAATACACAACTAAGAATCCCCAAATTCAGGTGACACAGAACTAGAAAATTAATTGTCCAAATCACAATTTTACAGTTGTGATACAAAACAGAAAGCAGAAACTGAAAGGGGAAAATTAGTATAGCTGAAGAACAGTCATTTATTCTCGATGATTTAAGTACCAGGACATTATACTGAGGAGAGCAAAAATATGAAATGAGATTTTCTCTTTCTCTCATTTCAACCATTTATTTGAAATACATTTCCATATGCCATAATGAAATGAGCTTTTATGCAGCTATTTTTGAACACTGTCTAGAAAAATGTGAAGTACTAGCTTAAGCTCTTTTCCTCAGACACAACAATCCCAAGGGAAGTATTAATGAGAAAGATATCCTCCTCTGTAGTTTACACACTAGCATTTAAAACATTTCCTCCAAGGAACCAAAAGAAAATGCTCCCGTGTTTCTGATTCTTTCTCAGAGGAGAATTTCAACTCTTTGTAAATATAATCTGCTTTTCATGGTAAAACTATTGTTTACCTGCTTCTTAAGCTCAGAAGTAATAAATCTGTGTGTACATTGAGGAACAAAGCTTTTGATATTATGTGGAAATCAAAACAGCATACATAAATACGGCTCACATATTTTATTATATAAAAATAACCTAATATGCAAGAGAAGTAAACCACATGATTCCTTCCAATACCAGTACAACATCCTGTGTAATAAAAGACGCTGACAAATCATACATGTGAATAAATAGGTCTTAGGACAGGACAAACCCAGGATAACTATGAATAAATAGACACGCACTCTGCTAGAGTCCTGACTGCCATTTAAATCATGGCTTTTTACCTGTTCAGCACGCAAGCTGCATAGTAAGAAGGTTTTCACTTGTGATGGATTTGTCTAATAATTTGGATACGAGAAAATCTTCACTTAACAGCATCTCATAGCTGAGGCCTACTGTGCACAAGCTGGGAACAAGTTTTTCTTCTAATGTAGTTTTATCTTGTTTACCTGCTTCTTAAGCTCAGAAGTAATAAATCTGTGTGTACATTGAGGAACAAAGCTTTTGATATTATGTGGAAATCAAAACAGCATACATAAATACGGCTCACATATTTTATTATATAAAAATAACCTAATATGCAAGAGAAGTAAACCACATGATTCCTTCCAATACCAGTACAACATCCTGTGTAATAAAAGACGCTGACAAATCATACATGTGAATAAATAGGTCTTAGGACAGGACAAACCCAGGATAACTGACTTCCATTTTACAACAAAAGGTACAAGGTAAAGAGATAAAGCACAGCTGCAACATCCCTTAAACACCTGTGAAAGTTTGCATCCTGA